TGTGCGGTGGTTGTGTTGCGTTCTGCTGCAGTAAAAAACAGTACTGCATCCAACGTGTTGGTGGGAGGAGGCAAAGTGCAGTATCATGCGTTGGGGCCACATGTTCCTCGCAGCCCCAGCGCATCACCTGCTGTATCATGGGGGTCGTCTCCTCACCTGGTCTGGGGAGCATTCAGTGGGCGGGGCCTCTAACAGGAAGACGCAGCGCTTGGTCTCTGACACCTATAGAAGGTCTGTGGAGGGCAGCGGTCACACTATGGCACAGCGTACGGAGTGCAGCAGCTTGGAGTATGTAACATACAGCATAGCGTACGGAGTGCAGCAGCTTGGAGTATGTAACATACAGCATAGCGTACGGAGTGCAGCAGCTTGGAGTATGTAACATACAGCATAGCGTACGGAGTGCAGCAGCTTGGAGTATGTAACATACAGCATAGCGTACGGAGTGCAGCAGCTTGGAGTATGTAACATACAGCATAGCGTACGGAGTGCAGCAGCTTGGAGTATGTAACATACAGCATAGCGTACGGAGTGCAGCAGCTTGGAGTATGTAACATACAGCATAGCGTACGGAGTGCAGCAGCTTGGAGTATGTAACATACAGCATAGCGTACGGAGTGCAGCAGCTTGGAGTATGTAACATACAGCATAGCGTACGGAGTGCAGCAGCTTGGAGTATGTAACATACAGCATAGCGTACGGAGTGCAGCAGCTTGGAGTATGTAACATACAGCATAGCGTACGGAGTGCAGCAGCTTGGAGTATGTAACATACAGCATAGCGTACGGAGTGCAGCAGCTTGGAGTATGTAACATACAGCATAGCGTACGGAGTGCAGCAGCTTGGAGTATGTAACATACAGCATAGCGTACGGAGTGCAGCAGCTTGGAGTATGTAACATACAGACACATGTATGACCAACCCGGACTGTGACCGGGCCGCAGAGACACATGTATGACCAACCCGGACTGTGACCGGGCCGCAGAGACACATGTATGACCAACCCGGACTGTGACCGGGCCGCAGAGACACATGTATGACCAACCCGGACTGTGACCGGGCCGCAGAGACACATGTATGACCAACCCGGACTGTGACCGGGCCGCAGAGACACATGTATGACCAACCCGGACTGTGACCGGGCCGCAGAGACACATGTATGACCAACCCGGACTGTGACCGGGCCGCAGAGACACATGTATGACCAACCCGGACTGTGACCGGGCCGCAGAGACACATGTATGACCAACCCGGACTGTGACCGGGCCGCAGAGACACATGTATGACCAACCCGGACTGTGACCGGGCCGCAGAGACACATGTATGACCAACCCGGACTGTGACCGGGCCGCAGAGACACATGTATGACCAACCCGGACTGTGACCGGGCCGCAGAGACACATGTATGACCAACCCGGACTGTGACCGGGCCGCAGAGACACATGTATGACCAACCCGGACTGTGACCGGGCCGCAGAGACACATGTATGACCAACCCGGACTGTGACCGGGCCGCAGAGACACATGTATGACCAACCCGGACTGTGACCGGGCCGCAGAGACACATGTATGACCAACCCGGACTGTGACCGGGCCGCAGAGACACATGTATGACCAACCCGGACTGTGACCGGGCCGCAGAGACACATGTATGACCAACCCGGACTGTGACCGGGCCGCAGAGACACATGTATGACCAACCCGGACTGTGACCGGGCCGCAGAGACACATGTATGACCAACCCGGACTGTGACCGGGCCGCGTAGAGCCAATGTCGTGTGGAATCTTGGTCTTCAGGGGAGATATGGAGATGATATGTGAAAGGGAATCCTGAGCACACGGCTGGGGGATTCTGATCCTTTCCACGAGGCCTCGGAGACACGAAATGAACCACACACAGCTCCCCATTATCTCCCCCTTCATGTCCCCAGCTCCCCATTATCTCCCCCTTCATGTCCCCAGCTCCCCATTATCTCCCCCTTCATGTCCCCAGCTCCCC